GGTAGAGACGGGGTTTCACCATGTTGACCAGGATGGTCTCGATCTCTTGACCTCATGATCCACCTGCCTCGGCCTCCCAAAGTGCTGGGATTACAGGCTTGAGCCACCGCGCCCGGCCAGGCCTTAAATTCTTAAAGGTGATAAGGAGTGGAGACAGAATTCAAATTTGGGAAAGTTTCACAGTCCATGCTTGCTTTTTCAATTATATTAAACTATGGCAAGTTCCTTGCATATTCCAAACATTCATCGAGTACTTGTTGGTTGCAAAAGAGTATAGACTGCCTGTCACCACATGGTGCAAAATACTTTAGGAGCCTGTTTTGACAGTCAGAAGGTGGAGGCCCTGTACATTAGGCTGAAAAATACGCAGCTAGGCTGCCTAGTAGGTAGGGATTTTAGGATTTTCTGTTAAACAGAGTCACTTGGCAACAATATATTTCTAGTTCACTTAATTTTTTGGGTTCTGCCCAAAGCCTGGTGACTCATGAGACAGATATTCTGTACTCTGCGTAGATGAGAAAGAAGTCAGTAAGGAGGCTGGGTGTGGTGGCTCTTGCCTATAATCCCAGCACTTTGGGAGGCCAAGGCGGGTGGATCACAAGGTCAGGAGTTTGAGACCCACCTGGCCAACACGGTGAAACCCTGTCTCTACTAAAAATACAAAAAATAGCTGGACATGGTGGTGGGCACCTGTAATTCCAGCTACTCGGGAGGCTGAGGCAGAAGAATCGTTTGAACCTGGGAGGCAGAGGTTTTGGTGAGCCAAGATGGCACCACTGCACTCTAGCCTGGGCAACAGGGCGAGACTCCGTCTCAAAAAAAAAAAAAAAGCAACAACACAAAAAGACAGTAAGGTGAAGACGCAGCAGAAGAGATGGGTAACAAAGGCCTGGATGCATGAAAACTCTGTTTAATTGCCATGGCATTATGAAAATCCTGATACCAGCCAATTCCTGAGTTTTAAATAATGAGAGCCAGTTTATTAGTTATGTTTAGACATATTTAGTTTTTTGCTTTATTTTTACAAGTAATGTTCTAAGAAATATATTTTATTTAATTTACTTATGGCATATTGACACATTTTTTGACAAATAAAAATTGTGTACATTCAAGACGCACAAAATGTGTTGATAGATGTACATATTGTGGAATGGCTAAATCAAGCTAATTAGCATATCAATTACTGCAACATATACCCGCAAATACTTACTTTTTTATGTGGTAAGAACAATTAAAATCTACTCTCTTAGCAATTTTCAAGTGTGTGTATATATATATACACACATATATATACATACATATATATACACACACATATATATATACAGGTGTGTGTGTGTATATATATATATATATATATATATATATCTTTTTTTTTTTAATTTGTTTGTTTGTTTTGAGACAGAGTCTTACTCTGTTACCCGGGCTGGAGTGCAGTGGCGCAATCTTGGCTCACTGCAACCTCTGCCTCCCAGTTTCAAGTGAATCTCATGTCTCATCCTCCTGAGTAGTTGGGATTACAGGCATGCGCCACACACCCAGCTAATTTTTGTATTTTTAGTAGAGATGTGGTTTCATTATGTGGGCCAGGCTGGTCTCAAACTCCTGACCTCAGATAATCCATCCACCTTGGCCTCCCAAAGTGCTGGGATTACAGGCGTGCGCCATGGTACGTGGCCTCAAGTATGTACACACACATACACACACACACACACACACTTTTTTTTTTTTTTTTGAGATGGGAGTCTCACTCTGTCACCAGGCTGGAGTGCAGTGGTGTGATCTCAGCTCATTGCAACCTCTGCTTCCTGGATTCAAGTGATTCTCCTGCCTCAACCTCCTGAGTAGCTTGGGACTACAGGCACACGCCACCACACCCAGCTAATTTTTGTATTTTTAGTAGAGACGGGGTTTCACCATGTTGGTCAGGATGGTCTCAATCTCTTGACCTTGTGATCTGCCCACCTCGGCCTCCCAAAGTGCTGGGATTATAGGCATGAGCCATCATGCCCAGCCCTATTTATTTATTTATTTTTTAAAATAGAGACAGGGTTTCTATTACAGGCATGAGTCACCATGCCTAGCCCCCTGAATGTTATATTTTTAATGAATAGATTTTAGTATTATATGGAACTAATTTTTCTACAGTACTACAACACTGATTATTGATATTGTTAACAATCGTAACATCCAGATCTGGATATCTGCCTCAGCCAGTTTCAAAATTTGAGTTTCAATGAGAAAAACACAGGTATGTCCTAAATGACTGACTCCACTTCCTCTGTGTGAAGTTGAGAGTGGTTGTAAAGCTGTACAGGTATAGGAAAAACACTAATGTTAATAAACTATCCGTTGAACAACTACTGTGTAAAAGGATGACTTATGCTTTAGAGGGCAATTTAAAATTTTTTTAGAGATGGAGGTCTCGATATGTCGCCCAGGCTGGTTTCAAAATTGGGCTCAATCCATCTTCTGCCTCAGTCTCTCGAGTAGCTGGGATTACAGGTACACACCACTTCACCAGGCAAAAGGTAATTTAAATATTTCTACCATTCACCCTCCACACAACTGCCAGAGTGATTTTTTTTTTTTTTTTTTTTGATATGGAATTTCACTCTGTTGCCCAGGCTTTAGTGCTGCAGTGCGATCTCAGCTCACTGCAACCTCTGTCTCAGCCTCCCAAGTAGCTGGGATTACGGGTGCACACTAGCACACCCAACTAATTTTTTTGTATTTTTAGTAGAGAGGAGGTTTCATCATGTTAGCCAGGCTGGCTTTGAACTTCTAACCTCAAGTGATCTACCCGTGTCAGCCTCCCAAAGTGCTGGGATTACAGGTGTGAGCCACCACACCCAGCCCACAGTGATCCTTTTTCAGCAAAGCTGACTGCTCCTTTGGTCTCAACCCTTCATGGTATTTGACACTTTCCAATAAAACCCAGAGCTTACTAGATGATACATGATCTGGCTCCAGACTATAATTTCCATCTTATTTCTCTAATTTGCTGTGCTCTAGCCACACTGGTCTTGCCCTTTTTCCATGCCAAACAAATCCCCATTTCAGGGCACTGCACTTGCTATCTCTCTTCTAGGACAGTTTCCTTCTAGAAATCCACATAGCTCTCTCATTAAATGATCTAATTTTTATGTGTCTCCTTAGCTAAGAGGCCTTCCTTATCTACCCTATCTTAAAGAGAATCCCCACGTCACTCTTATCCTTTTATCCTGATTTATTTTTCCATAAAACTTGCCATACTACTGGGCATTATCTATTATTTAGTAATGTGTATATTGCTTATTGACTGTCTTCCCTACTATAATATGAGCTCCACGAAGCAGAGACTTAGCTTTGTTCACTGCTGAATTACCAGCACCTACAACAGCCTACTCATTAAACATTTGTTGAATGAATCAATCTTCAGGATACATGAAATGTTATTTATTTTTATTATTTTTTTCTTTTTTAAGGAATGAGAGGTTCACATGTTGCCCAGGCTGGCCTCAAACGCATAGTCTTGTCTCCTCAAGCACCAGGACAACTGGCCTGAGCCACTGTGGCTCCCTCACATATTTGATGTGATGCATAGGAAAATGTCTGGAAGGGTATAAACCAAAATGTTAACTGTTTATTTAACCTGGTGGGAGGTGGTTTTTCACATTGGTTTTCACTCATGCAATTTTTTTTTTTTTTTTTTTTTTTTTGAGATGGAGTCTCTCTGTGTCTCCCAGGCTGGAGTGCAGCGGCGGGATCTTGGCTCACTGCAAACTCCGCCTCCTGGGTTCAAGCGATTCTCCTGCCTCAGCCTCCAGAGTAGCTGGGACTACAGGCGCCCGTCACCATGCCCAGCTAAATTTTGTATTTTTAGTGAAGACGGGGTTTCACCATATTGGCCAGGCTGGTCTCGAACTCCTTACATTGTGATCCACCTGCCTCGGCCTCCCAAAGTGCTGGGATTACAGGCCTCAGCCACCACACCAGGCCCGAATTTTTTCTTTTTTAAGAATGAATTTGTATTATGCATATAACAAAAAAGAATGAACGAGTTCACGCAGGCAGAAAGTGTAAATGAATTTTAAAAAAGGTTGGGCAAATTTATCAAACGCAGCCTTCGAAATAGATGTACCAGTTACACGGTTCAGATAAACCACGGTTTGAATCCCCTTCCCCAGTACTCTAGCGGTGTGATCCCAAGTTATTTATGTGTCAGTGCCTAGATTTCTTCACCTGGAAAATGGGGATAACAACAGGTGCCTACCTCAGAAGTTTTAATTGAGACCGTATGTGTAACCTGCTTTGTGCAATGTCAGGCATGCAATAAGTACTCGACGACTGGTAGCTATTAGAATCATCATTAACAGCAGTAATAAGAGATGTTGGGACATACCTAGCCCTCAAGATTGACATCAGAGTAGACCACCACATCCTCTCATCATTGCGCCTCAATTTGGGCCTCTGAAGCCCAAAGAGGGGATGGTTCTTTCCAGAGAAGACAATTTCGACGTTCCAGAAGCATCGGATTGAAACGCACCCTCTTCACCCCTTAAAATCAGTCTGGTTCATCCACGAGCAGCCCTTCAGGGCCCGGGCTGGAGAGGCAACCACGGCTTGCAGTCCCTGGGCCCAGTTACCTCAGCCTCAATCTCCCTTGCTGCAACAGGGGTGGGGCGGGGACGTTATCCCCAAACCCAGGCAGTCTGGGCCGAGCCTGCCTCACCGCACTCTGGAGGGAACCAAACGGCCCCACGCCCGGAGAAGCCTCCGGCGACGGGCCACGCGCCCCAAGGGCAAAGTGATTACTTGTCGGGCTCAAAAGTCAGGCAAGGGGCTCAGCCCCATCCTCCCAGTCCTCAGGCACAGAGAAGGCAGCGGACACGCGGCAGCCTCGGGGAAAAGGCCAAGGGGGCGGTGACAGGGGCGCGGCACCCGCTGGGGGCCTCCACGGCCGAGGAGCGGAGGCGACGGGCGCGCGGCAAGCGGCGCGCTCGCGACTGCGCCGTCTGGGGGCGCGCACGCAAAGCCCGGAGGCGCGCGCGGGACCGGCGGCTCTTTGGCGCGGAATAGGGGAACGCGGCGAGGTGAGGCGCCAAGCTGTGCAGGGAGGGCGAGTGGCGGGGCGCGAGCCCCGCTAGCCGGACTAGGAGGAAGCGGGGGTCGCGAGGTGTGGCGTGGGAGGAGGCGCGGGCTGCGGGCCCTGGCGGCGGGCGGAACGCGGCGGGCTGGCAGGCGGGCGGGCGGCGCCGGGCCACGCCGCACTGTGGGGGAGGGCGGTGCGGGGACGGGCCCGGCTCGTCCGGCCCGCCCAGAGTCTGAGCAGCTCCGCAGTTCCCCAACCCCGCCGATCCCAGCTCAGCCCTAGAGCGCGTTGCTTTATCAAGAAGGACCTCTGTGCGTGATCCCCTGACCAGCGTTACCCATTGAATTTCCTAGTGGGCTCTCCAAAGTAGGTATTTCAGCACTCTGTTAGAGCTGAGGCGCAGGTAAAATGACTGACCCAGGTAGGTCCCGCTGATAAGAACCCTGTAAGGATTTGAACCTTGCCTCTACAACTCCGGAGCCTGCGCATTTCCTCCTCCCCTTTTACTCCTGCCCGGCACAGTGCTTCACATCCTTCTCTGGTGACTGATTCGAATTTGGCGACTCTTGGTTTGGAGATAGCGCCAGTGCTTCCATGGAGGCTGGTGTCAGAATGTGGTCTCTTGTGAAAGGAGGAAAAAAAAAAGAGTTTGCAGACTGTAATATTGTGCTTTTTCGCCCTCCCTTTTTTTTTTTTTTTTAACCTAGGCTGGAGTGCAGTGGCACCATCCAGGCTCACTGCAGCCTCTGCCTCCCGGGCTCAAGTGATTCTCAGGCGTGGGCCACCACTCCCAACTAAGTTTTGTATTTTCAGTAGAGACAGGGTTTCACCTTGTTGCCCAGGCTGGTCTCGAACTCCTGTCTCAGCCAACCAAAGTGCTGTGATTACGCGGGTGAGCCAGTGCCCGGCCCTACTTTTTGTGTGTGTGTGGGGGGGGGGGGGGGGGGGGTTTTGTTTTTTTTTTTTTTGAGATGGAGTCCAGCCCAGGCGGGAGTGTAATGGCACCATCTCGGCTCACTGCAACCCCCGCCTCTCAGGTTCAAGCGATTCTCCTGCCTCAGCCTCAGTCTCCTGACTAGCTGGGATTACAGGTGCCCGCCACCACGCCCAGCTATTTTTTGTATTTTTAGCAGAGATGGGGTTTCACCCTGTTGGCCAGGCTGGTCTTGAACTCTCGACCTCAGGTGATCCGCCCACCTGGGCTTCCCAAAGTGCTGGGATTACAGGCTTGAGCCACCACGCCTGGCCTCCTACTGTGCCTTTTTGAGTGTTGATCAGTCTGTAATAACTGCGCATCCTTTACTGGACATCTGGGGTTTGTTTGTTTTGTTTTGTTTTTGAGACTGAATTTCACTTTTGTTGCCTAGGCTGGACTGCAGTGGCGCCATCTTGGCTCACTGCAACCTCCATCTCCAGGGGTAAAGTGATTCTCCTGCCTCAGCCTCCTGAGTAGCCGGGATTACAGGCATGCACCACCACACCTGGCTAATTTTGTATTTTTAGTAGAGACAGGGTTTATCCATGTTGGTCAGGCTGGTCTCGAACTCCTGACCTCAGGTGATCGCCCACCTCAACCTTCCAAAGTGTTGGGATTACAGGCGTGAGCCACTGCATCTGGCCTCGACAGCCAGGTACCCATGGCCTGGTACCCACGGATACCTGCCAAATGGAAAAAGTTCAGTAAATGTTGGCTGTTACTTGATTGCTGCGTTCGTAGTACACCCTTGCTAGAGTAATTTGTCTTCAGAGCTCAACTTTTCCTGAGATGATAGCAAAGGGAGACCTACCCCACCTCAAAAAGGAAAAGTTCTTCGACAGCAGCGTTAGTGGAATGTTGCCTACACTTAGTGATGAATTATTCTCCAAGCTAAAAATTACCAGGGTGAAAAAAAATCACTTGGGAAAAACTAAAGATGAAATAACCTTTTGTAGAACTAACATTTATTGTCCACTGCTATGTTTATTGTATTCCTCCTGTATTCTTGGCATTTTAAAAGCATACAAATATGTGTCCAATATATTCTCTGCTTTCACTTATTTACATTTTTGAGACAGGGTCTTGCACTGTCGCCCAGGCTGGAGTGCAATGGCGCGATCTCGGCTCACTGCAACCTCCACCTCTTGGGTTCAAGCAACTCCCATGCTTTAGCTTCCCGAGTAGCTGGGATTACAGGCGCCCACCACCATGCCTGGCTAATTTTTTTGTATTTTTGGTGGAGATGGGAGTCTCACTATGTTGTCCAGGCTGGTCTGAAACTCCTCACCTTAGGAGATTCATACCTGCCTCAGCATCCCAAAGTGCTGGAGTTGTAGGTGTGAGCTACCACACCCAGCCTGCTTTCACTTAATTTAGAAGTGGGGGAAAATAAACATTCAGAAGTAATCCTCACAGAGTAGAATGTGAAAAATGCCAGATAAAAAGCTGTGAGTGGGCCAGGCACGGTGGCTCACACCTATAATCCAAGCACTTTGGGAGGCTGAGGTGGGCAGATTACCTGAGGTCAGGAGTTTGAGACCAGCGTGGCCAATATGGTGAAATCCTGTCTCTACTAAAAATACAAAAATTAGCCGAGGACGATGGCAGGTGCCTGTAATCCCAGCTACTGGGGAGGCTGAGGCAGGAGAATCACTTGAACATGGAGGCAGAGGTGGCAGTGACCCGAGATTATGCCATTGCACTGCAGCCTGGGCAACAAGAGCGAGACTTCATCTCAAAAAAAAAAAGCTGTGAGTGTACAGAAGAAAGGTTATTTCTTGACTTAGTGTAAAATATTATTTCCACCTGTAATCCCAGCACTTTGGGAGGCCAAGGCGGAAGGATCACTGAGGTCAGGAGTTTAAGACCAGCCTGGCCAATATGGTGAAACCCTGTCTCTATTAAAAATACAAAAATTAGTTGGGTGTGATGGCAGGTGTCTGTAATCCCAGCTGCTTGGGAGGCTGAGGCAGGAGAATCGCTTAAACCTGTGATAAGAAGGTTGCAGTTAGCTGAGATAGCCCCACTGCACTCCAGCCTGGCGACAGAGCAAGACTCTTGCCTCAAAAAAAAAAACAAAAACAAAACAGAAACACCTTTGGGCCAGGGATGGTAGCTTACACCTGCAATCCAAGCACTGCAGCACTTTGGGAGGCGGTGGTAGGTGGATCACTTGAGGCCAGGAGATTGAGACCAGCCTGGCCAACATAGTGAAACCTGTCTCCTAAAAATACAAAAAAATTAGCCAGGTGTGGTGGTGACACATGCTTGTAATCCCAGCTGCTCAGGAGGCTGGGGCACAAGACATGAGAATAAAAAATGAGAACCAAATGGAGAATGAGAATCCCTTGAACCCGGGAGGCAGAGATTGCAGTGAACACTCCAGCCTGGGCAACAGAGCCAGACTCTGTCTCCAAAAAAAAAAAGACTACATTCCAGGCTCTGTCCTCCAAGCTGGAGTGCAGTGGTGGCTCACTGTACCCTCGACCTCCCAGGCCCATGCAATCCACCTCAGCCTTCTTGAGTAGCTGGGACAATAGGGATGGGCCACTGTGCCTGGCTTTGTTTTTTTTTTTTTTTTTTTTTGAAGAAGGTGTCTTTCTTTTTATCCCCGGCTGGGGGGCAATGGGGCCATCTCGGCTCACCGCAACCTCCGCCTCCTGGGTTCAGGCAATTCTCCTGCCTCAGCCTCCTGAGTAGCTGGGACTACAGGCGTGCGCCACCATGCCCAGCTAATTTTTGTATTTTTAGTAGAGACGGGGTTTCACCATGTTGACTGGGATGGTCTCGATCTCTTGACCTCGTGATCCACCCGCCTCGGCCTCCCAAAGTGCTGGGATTACAGGCTTGAGCCACCGCGCCCGGCCTTTTTTTTTTTTTTTTTTTTTTAAAGAGATGGGGGTCTCCCCAAGTTGCCCAGGCTGGTCTCGAACTTCTGGGCCCAAGTGATCCTCCCAGCTCAGCCTCCCAGAGTGCTGGGATTACAGGCATGAGCCACTGTGCCTGGCCCTGTTATGTACTTGTTGAAAGAGTGAGGAACAAATGTATATTGTAATAGATAGGATTTTTTGGTTTCCAATTACAGAAACTCATTCAGATTTAATATTATAGTTGGGTTTCTTAAAGACAGAGAAATGAGAGAAGAGCTAAACAGTTGGGCCACCTGGGCTAGGGATCTCAATCACCAGAGCTCATGGACTGAATTCTTTGAATTAATTCTGGTGAATGAATGAGCTCCAACTGCCTTCTGTCATTTGATGTCTTACTCAAGATCCAGATTTCTGGAAGAAGAGACCTGGTTGCTTTAGCTTTTGTCAGGGATGGGAAATGGGGTATTATGATTGGCAGCCCCACCAGTACCACATGAAATATGGGAGGGTCAGTTTCCCAAAGGAAAGAGGGTGGCTAAGGAGAGAGGTGATGCTGAGCAGAGAAAGCTGACAGTTGTTCATTAGAGATATGTAGCATTTGCCCCTCCCACCTTCCCTGCCCTGCAGACCCAGATCCTTCCTCATAAAAAAATAAATAAATAGGCCAGGCGTGGTGGCCCAGGCCTGTAGTCCCAGCACTTTGGGGCCAAGATGGGTGGATCATAAGGTCAGGAGATTGAGAACATCCTGGCCAACATGCTGAAACCCTGTCTCTACTAAAAATGTAAAAATCAGCTGGGTGTGGTGGTGTGAGCCTGTAGTCCCAGCCACTTCGGAGGCTGAGGCAGGAGAATTGCTTGAACCTGGGAGGTGGAGGTTGCAGTGAGCCAAGATCATGCCACTTGGTACTGTGCTCCAGTCTGGCAATAGAGGAAGACTTCGTCTCAAAAAAAAAAAAAAAATTAATATGTAGGATTTATAGAGGATCAGGTACCATGCTACATTAATTATATGGATTGTGATATTTGAGGATGACATTTATAATTTCTCACAACTATGGAAGGTAGACACTATTATACCTACTTGACAGAGGAAGAAACAGGTTTTTTTTTTTTGAGACAGAGTTTCACTCTTGTTACCCAGGCTGGAGTGCAATGGTACGATCTCGGCTCACTGCAACCTCCGCCTCCTGGGTTCAGGCAATTCTCCTACCTCAACATCCTGAGTAGCTGGGATTACAGGCACGCGCCACCATGCCCAGCTAATGTTTTGTATTTTTAGTAGAGACGGGGTTTCACCGTGTTGACCAGGATGGTCTCGATCTCTTGACCTTGTGACCCACCCGCCTTGGCCTCCCAAAGTGCTGGGATTACAGGCTTGAGCCACTGCACCCGGCAGAGACAGGTTTTTAGAGGTAAAATAATTTTTCAGCATTACATAGCTAAGATGTGGCAGGACTGAGTATGTTGTATATCTTCTCTTTATCTGGTCCCTTTGAGTGATTTTCTGATCCATGTGCCACTTTTGTTTATTCATAGGGAATTATCAAGTTTTGGTGTATGTGTTGGCTGGTTCTGAAGTCTTGAAGCTCTGCACTGAGGAAGAGCAAAGCAGCACTTGTTGCCAATTAGGGAATGGACCGTTTGGGTTCCTTTAGCAGTAAGTACGGTGGGAACAAGTCTCAGGTGATTCCTTTTTTTTTTTTTTTTTTGAGACAGAGTCTCACTCTTGTTGCCCAGGCTGGAATGCAATGGTGCGATCTCGGCTCACTGCAGCCTCTGCCTCCCAGGTTCAAACGATTCTACATCCTCAGCCTTCTGAGTAGCTGGGACTATAGGTGCATACCACCACACCTGGCTAATTTTTTTTTTTTCTGTATTTTTAGTAGAGATGGTGTTTCACCATGTTGGCCAGGCTGTTCTTGAACTCCCAACCTCAGGTGATCTGCCCGCCTCTTCCTCCCAAAGTGCTTGGATTACAGGCATGAACCACTATACCCAGCCTTCAGATGATTATTGATAGCAAACTGGAGTAGAAGTTCGTCAAGAAAGAAAAACAATTAAGTTAGGCAGTAAAGCCCTGTGACTGATTCTAAGGGAATTATGAGTATCAAATTAAAATGAACTGATACGTATTGATTACCCATTGAACACATGACACAAACATATGATTCTGGGTCTTAGAAGAAAATGAAGCTGAGATGGATCAGGCATAGTCTGTCTGATTAACCTGTAGTTAGACCTAGAAAAGCTATGGGATTTCTGTTTAGACCAATAACATGTTTCAGATACCTTGATCAGAAATGCGTCAGTGGTAAGATAAAGGAAATACCACCCCGCCTCTCCTTTGATGTGGAACTTACTTCTAAGAGTAAACCGTTGTAGAATAATGGAGAGAATTATGGAGTATGTGTGAAGTAAATTCAAGCAGCCGTAACTATGGATACAAAAAGTATACCGCTCTTTTTCTCCGATTCTGAATATATAAGATTTGATAGAAATAGAAATTCAATTGTTAGATGTTTAGTAGTATCCCAATGAGAAGAATCAGAAAAGTACTTTTTGGGTGTTGTTTTGTCTTTAACAACTTCTTAAAGGAGCTCTAATTTACTCTTTCATCACGCTCCTAATAGAAATTTAGGAGAGAATGGAGTCCTCAGACACATCTAGTTCAACTCTTTCATTTTACGCATGGAGAAATCTAAGTGGACTGCTCCAGTGCTGGAAGTATAAAATGAAACTACTCCCCTCCTTTTCAAAAATAATTGTTAAACTTCTTTTTGGAAATAATTTCAAACTTAAAGGAGTTGCAAGAATAAGAATACAAAGAATACCCACGTGCCTTTTGTTAACCTTTTACTCCATCTGCTTTGCTATTTGCATGCACTCTCTATGCGTGTATGTGTATGTATGTGTATATATATATTTTTTAATTTTTTTTTAATTTAAAATTTTTAATCTTTTTTTGTAAAAATAATTTAATACATTTTTTTTTTTTCTTTAATAGAGATGGGGTTTCACCATATTGGTCAGACTGGTCTCGAACTCCTGATCTCAGGTGATCCACCCGCCTCGGCCTCCCAAAGTGCTGGGATTACAGTTGTGAGCCACAGCGCCTGGCCTTTTTATTTTTTAATAGACGGGGTCTCACTCTATCACCCAGCCTGGAGTATAGTGGCACAGTCATAGCCCACTGCAGCTATATTTCCCGAATGCCTGGGCTCAAGCGATGTCCCCACCTTGGCCTCCTAGTGTGTTGGGATTATAGTCATAAGCCATCATGCCTAGCCCAGTCTTTACTATTATGGTTGCAAAAAGATGATTTTTTTCCCCCCAAAATCTAGTGTTCTCTCCACATTTACTAGTTAGCATTTTTAGCTTTTATTTTAGGATCGGGGTACATGTGCAGGGTTGTTATATAGGTAAACTGCTTGTCACAGGGGTTTTGTGTACAAATTATTTCATCACTGAGATAATAAGCATAGCACTCGAGAGGTAGTTTTTGGATCCTCTTCCTCCTCCCCCTTCACCCTCAAGTAGGCCCTGGTGTCGGTTCCCCTCTTTTTGTCCATGTATTCTTGTTTTTTTTTAAGCTCCTACTTGTAAGTGATAATGGGGTATTTTGTTTTCTTTTCCTGCATTAGTTTGCTTAGGATAATGACCTCCAGCTCCATCCATTTTGCTGCAAAGGACATGATCTCATTCCTCTTTTTTTTTTTTAATAAAGATGGGGTTTCACCATGTTGGCCAGGCTGGTTTTGAACTCCTGACCTCAGGTGATCCACCCACCTCAGCTTCCCAAAGCGCTAGGATTACAGACATGAGCCACCGCTCCCGGCTGATCTCATTCCTCTTTTATGGCTGCATAGTATTCCATATATGTACCACATTTTCTTTATCTGTTCACTTTTTTTTTTTTTTTTTTTTTGAGATGGTGTCTTGTCGTTGCCCAGGCTGGCATGCAATGGCACTATCTCAGCACATAGCATCCTCCACCTCCTGGGTTCAAGCAATTCTCCTGCCTTAGCCTCCCTAGTAGCTGGGATTACAGGTGCCCACCACCATGCCTGGCTAATTTTTTTGTTACTTTTGGTAAAGATGGGGTTTCCCCATGCCAGGCTGGTCTCAAACTCCTGACCTCGTGATCCACCTGCCTCAGCCTCCCAAAGTGCTGGGATTACAGGCATGAGCCACTGCGCCCAACCTGTCTGTTCACTTTTTCACTTATTTATTTATTAGTATGGAGACAGAAATTCCTATTTTTTCAATGATTTATGATTTATTAGCATACTTAACTTGCTAGGTTCTCATTTATTCCAAATTTGGCCACTGGGAGTCCCTTCAAATGGGCTCCTACATCCTTTTAACATACCCTCATTTTTTATTTTTTTTTCTTTTTAGCATCTCCATCCTTTTTGGCATAACTAAATACTCTAAATGCATCCTATACCTCCTCTGCCCTGGAACCCATACCTGAGGAGTCCTGGTACTTTTACAAGGGAGTAACATCAGAGACCAAGATCTTTTCATCTGCTAGAATATTTTTGCATCTTGGCCCTTTTGGCTGACAGAACTAAGAAGTATATGCATGTCATGTGCTATATACATATATGCCAGTATGTGTACACTCATACACATGTATATACACATATACTTCTTTTTAGGAAATCATGAGTTCACATTGATACCTCTAATTTGTCATCATAGGCTTTTTTCTTATCTCTCTTAATTCCTTATTCATATGTCTCAGTGAGAAACCTGGCTCTCAGCATCAACACAATTAATTCTAGAATCCCCTGCCCTCAATCCCTTGTACTTACCCAACTTCATTGTTTTGTCCTTTAATTCCTTTTGCAAAGATTAGAGGACTTTTTTTTTTTAATTTAATATTCTTTAGCAAATATATTCTATCATACAGAGGACTTTTTTTTTTTTTAAACCCTAATTTCTTTTTCTTTTTCCTCCTTCCTTTCTTTTTTTTTTTTTGGTTGCCCAGGCTGGAGTGCAACCACAGCTCACCACAACTTCTGCCTCCCACGTTCAAGCAGTTTTCCTGCCTCAGCCTCCCAGGTAGCTGGGATTACAGGCATATGCACCGCCACGCCCAGCTAATTTTTGTGTTTTTAATAGAGACAGGGTTTCTCCATGTTCGCCAGGCTAGTCTTGAACTCCTGATCTTAGGTAATACATCTGCCTCGGCCTCCCAAAGTGCTGGGATTACAGGCATAAGCCACCACGCCCAGCCTCTAATTTCTTTTTTTTTTTTTTTTTTTTGAGACGGAGTTTCACTCTCGTTACCCAGGCTGGAGTGCAATGACGCAATCTCGGCTCACTGCAACCTCCTGGGTTCAGGCAATTCTCCTGCCTCAGCCTCCTGAGTAGCTGGGATTACAGGCATGCGCCACCACGCCCAGCTAATTTTTTTTGTATTTTTAGTAGAGACAGGGTTTCATCATGTTGACCAGGATGGTCTCGATCTCTTGACCTCGTGATCCACCCGCCTTGGCCTCCCAAAGCGCTGGGATTATAGGCGTGACCCACTGCGCCCGCCTCTAATTTCTTAAGAAAGATAATGTGCTATATATATATAGAGAGAGAGTCTTTTTTGCACTTTTTTTTTTTTTTTTTTTTTGAGACGGAGTTTCGCTCTTGTGACCCAGGCTGGAGTGCAATGGCGCGATCTCGGCTCACCGCAACCTCCGCCTCCTGGGTTCAGGCAATTCTCCTGCCTCAGCCTCCTGAGCAGCTGGGACTGCAGGCACGCGCCACCATGCCCAGTTAATTTTTTGTATTTTTAGTAGAGACGGGGTGTCACCATGTTGACCAGGATGGTCTCGATCTCTTGACCTCGTGATCCACCCGCCTCGGCCTCCCAAAGTGCTGGGATTACAGGCGTGAGCCACCGCGCCCGGCCCTTTTTTGCACTTTTTAAAAAATTTTTTCAATCAGCGCCAGGATTGTACTTTTTTTTTCCCGCTTAATAGTATCTCCTGGAAATACTGTATTAATTGATAGAGATTGTCCTCATTCTGTTTTTTTATAATTGCATAATACTTCATTGTGTGGACATAGTGTTATTCAAATAATTGCTTATACTTGGACATCTAAGTGCTATTTTGCAATTACATCTAATATTTTAATATATAACTTTGAACGTGTATTTTTGTATTAGTGCAAATGTATATTCGTGGTAAAAAAAATTCCTAGAAGTGAGATTGGTGGTTCAAAAGATAATCGCCCTCTATATGAGTTGTACTATTTTGTATTCCCACCAGTGATATATAAGAGTGTCTTTTTTGGCTGGGTGTGGTGGCTCATGTCTGTAATCTCAGCACTTTGGAAGGCCGAGGCAGGCGTATCACGAGGTCACGAGTTCGAGTCTAGCCTGACCAACATGGTGAAACCCCTCCTCTACTAAAAATACAAAAATTACCCGAGTGTGGTGCAGGAGAATTGCTTGAACCCGGGAGGTGGAGGTTGCGGTGAGATCGCACCATGGCACTCCAGCCTGGGCGACAGAGGGAAACTCTGTCTCCAAAAAAAAAATAATAAAAAAATAAGAGTGCCTATTTTCCCACAGGCTGACTAATAAAGTATGTTGTCAGGCGTTGAAACTTTTGCCAATCTGATGGGTGAGAAATTATGTCAGGGTAGTTTTAA